CCGCCGCCACCGCCACCGCCACCGCCGCCACGCATGCGCTCAGCCCGCCGCCGTCATTGAAGCTCGCCGCCCCGTCGCCGGGGGTGGGTTGGTAGGCTGAGGGCGACGGAAGTCGACGCCACACGCGGTCGCCATGTTGGTTAAGGGCAAGTGTTGGCAGGCGAGGCCTGGGTGGCCATATTTGATGAGGGCCTGATGCCTTTGGTCGTCTAGCAGACGGAAGTTTTGGGTTTTACATTGGTAGGCAAATGATTCCTCTTTTCCTCTCTTCTTTTTGTTTGTTCCCTTTACTTTCTTCCCTTATTTACTTCTTTCAGAAAAAAAAAATGGTAACAGGAAAAGAAAATGGAACCACTAGCGGAGAACTAAAAGGCTAAATAAATTGCTGACATAGTGTCTAGTACCTGTAATCCCAGTGAAACAGGAAATGAGGTTGGCAGGTCTACTGAGGGCAAGCCTGAGGTGTACCAGACCAGCTTGGGCTACCAAGGGAAATTTTGTTTCAAAAAATAAACGAGAGATGGCTCAGTGATTAAGAGTGTTTGTTGGGTACTCAGAAAGACAGAGTTTGGAGATCAGCATCTGCATATCAAGCCTATAACCTCAACTCTGAGGGAGACATGAGGGCTTGCTTGTTTAGCTGAGACAGGCCCAAAGGGGAGCCGCTGGTTCAGGTAGAGACTCTAAAGGAGAAGATGAGAAGCAGTAGAGGAGCCAGCCTGAGGCCCCTTCTGGCTTCTGTCTGGAGAGACATGTCTACCATCACACACTTGTGCCCATACGCTCACACACAAATACATACATAAAATTATTCTAAAATAAGTCTGTTGGTGGATTTTTCCATCTAGACCGTGGTTCAGCTCTTTTATTAAAACATTCAGAAGGTACCTTAGCAAAGACATCGTCAGTGTACAAAAAGATTATAACACATCTTTTTTGCTTAATTAAAAAAGAAGATTTTAACATAGTAAAACTATATATAACATAACAGTTACAATATTTGTGTTTGGCAAAATTAGAGAAAATCCTCTAATATCTATCTTTGTGAATCTAAAGTTTTATACCTAACTCATATTTTATCATCATTAAGAAAACTATAAGCTTAATTATTTAATCTTTAACTCCATCAAAGACACCAGAAGGGTGAAATATTACCTACTGATAGGGACACCTGACTGCCTGGACAGTCAAATGTTCTTCTGTAATGTTGGGCATCCAACTTTGGCCTACAGGTCTAGTATAGCTGGTAGACAATTTTGAGAAGCAAGGAACTTTTATGGATTGTCCTACCTTGTCTTGGGAAAGTTTGGCAGTCACTTTGCTTCCTACTGGTCTAGTTTGGACAGTATACTATCAGCATTTGAGGCAAGGGCAGTTTCTTTGCCCAAATAGTTAGCTTTTTCCATAAAGAAAGTAAACTCCATATGGAGCTTCTTTGATTCCCATCATCTTCTTTTGAAGCAAATTGGTGCTGACAAGAGCAGACTTGTCTTACTATCGTGAAAAGCCTTCGGCTATTAAACATTAAATGTCATATTCTATAGGTCTTTGAAGTGTTTGAAGATCAACTATCTAGCTAAGATATATCTCTGTAAGACCTTGAAAACATACCTAACGTGACTATAAATTTGATTATTATAGTTGACTAACTACTAATCTGTATTTTATACATTATATTTTTAAATGAGCTGCATAAGCACCAAATCCCAAACGAGTAGAAACATACATATAGTATAGCAAAAATAACTTTAAATTTGTATCAGTAAGCCAAAATCCATACCAATGTAAAATATTTTGAGATTAATAGTTGTTTTAGATTAAAGTTGATTCAAAAGTCTACCCTTTTCTTACCATTCCTATATAATATACTCCTCTTTTCCTTTATAAAGAGAACTTTGAATTTAACTCTTTTGTTTAACTTTTTTTTTTACAATGAATGATAACAACTTGTAATCAAACCCCATTAAATGACGACAGATGTCCATAATTCATCTTTTGGGAATATAGGCATTGTTTTCTCTAGACTGCTTCCTGTTGTCTGGGGGTGCTGGCATCTGTGAAGGAACCTTAAGAAAATTCAGGATAGTGGTTACATCTTGGCTAGAGTATTCTGTGAAGCTGAATCATCTCTGACAGCAGCCTTGAAACTGTCCTGGATGCAGAACTCACAAACTGTAACGAGGCATTTCCGAGATGTTGAATCACCTGGGCCATCTATTTTCATTGGTGTTTGGTGCCCTGAAAATACACAAACTTTTAAAGGTAATATACATTACAAGTATGAAATATGTCATACAATATGACATATATGAAATAATATGACATAATATGAAATATGTCATACAAGTATGAAATAAGTCAGTTAAAGATTTTTTTTTGTTGTTTTATAATTGAGCAGGTCAAAGCTGGGCATGGTGTCACAGCAGCCTGTAATCCTCGCAGCACTCAGGAAGTTGAGCCTAGAGGATCAAGACTACAAGGCCAGCTTTGGCAAGAGCCAGACCCAGCCTCAGAAAGGTTTGGAGCTCTCTTCCTACACGCTGTCACTTGCTACCTCCACTATTCTTTCCCACTCTCACTTCTCTAGCCCTGGCCTTGTTCAATCTCTTTCCTTTTCTCTCTACTCTAGGCTCTTTGGATGTCTGTCTGTCTCTCTCTCCCCCTGCCCAAAACAACAACACAACAACAAAAAAAAAACAATTTCCCCCAAGATGGAGTGTTCAGGTGGGCGGTTTCTTTACTGCACTCCCTCCCATACAAGAAAGTTGAAAGGCAATTTTGGCAAGGTTCTTTGTGTTACACGAGAGGCACAGATAGCAGGGATTGGTAGGCTCACTCATGATCATACTGTGGGACTAGGTCTGTTTTTTCCATCTGTAAAGTCAAGGTGTCACTCACATGACTCTAACTCCTTTTCCCAGAACATATGCTTTCTTGAGTCCTCAAAAACAAACCGTGAAAAATAAAGCATTGGTTTCTGTCCTGAGCTAAGAATCGTTCATATATTAAGTAGGACTAATGGGAATATTGCTTAGTTTCTCTGCATTCTAACTCTTCGCTGGTATAATGTGGTAAACAGTAGTCCCCTTGTGAGAGGTTAATACCAACCCAAATACCCATTAAATACTAGTTATTATATAAGAATCTCATTCATGATCAAAATTAACCAGAAAAGTCACTCTACCAAGAACAGCCATGTATCCCCACCCTTGTAATGGAGGGGGTAATCAGTCCTGCCTGAGATTTCTGAGCTGCAGGTTGTACCCTGATTGTGCTCCAGTCAGTTCCCTAAAGTTTCAGCTTTGCAAGCATGCTCCCTGGTCCCTCACCCCCAAAGACTGATTTCCTGGAAGCTGCCCAGAGCCTCCAGCTTCCTCTTTTTATCCCTATGTAGACCAGGCTGGTCTGAGTGCCAGGATTAAAGGCATGTACCACCATGCCTGGCTCAGCTTCCATTTTTGACTAATGAAAACACACTTGGTGGTCAGGCAGGAGGGATGCAAACTAGCTATTCCTGCTGGATCAGGAAACTTGTTTTGTTTTGGTTGTTGTTCGATTTTTGAGAAAGGGGTTTCTCTGTGTAACAGTCCTGGCTGCCCAGGAATTAAAGAACTTTTAAAGCCTCTGTCTTCATGGCAACCCCGCATAGGCTTATTTCAGCCACATTGAAGTTGGGCCTGTACCATCTGTGTGTCTCCTCCCAGCAGGAGAAAGAAAAGGATCTCAACATATTCGAGTTAGAAACGACGGGGGGGGGGGGGGGTTGTGGGTGAGAGGAATTACCCCAGATAAAATCTATCAGGGGTCCAGGCTGCTGGGGTTTTCCATGTTTCAGAAACTTGGGCAGGTGTTCTCCTGGTGCCTTACCAGAAGATGACTCAGTACAGAGAAGAGAAACACTGGGCTCACAGTCCAGTGACTTCCTCTTCCCTCTGGGCTTTTCCTCTGGTGTCCACACAGCCTGCTGCCTTGCTCCATCAAGGCAATTATCTGGGATTGACTGTGGCAGACCAGGTGGTAAGTGTGACCTTGCTGGTGTATGGCACCCAGAGCACAGTGTTATCAACACAACCGGCTACTTCCTTGGTTGTACTCAGTGGAATTGCTATTGTTCATCAATTGGGCAGGGCTTTCCCCAATACTGTTCCTGTGTGTTTCCAGTAACTTCCCTGCCAATGACTCTGCTTAAATGTAAAGGGTGGAGAGAGAGACTGTCTTTAAAAGCACAAAACAGCACCCTACTTTCTGAACTCTAAAGCAGCAAAAGTAGTTCAGCCGAGCATGCTGGTACACACCTGTAATTCCAGTCTTTGTGAGGCTTGAGGTCAAAGTTCAAGGCAAGGTTACGCAATTCAGTATTCAGAGTTACAGAGCTGGTACATCACCGAATATATACAACTTTTGGCTGTTTTTTTCCTAATTAGAAACTCTTTACAGTTTATGTTTGTTCAATATTCCCCTTAGAGGACCCCTCTTGCTTTTCTGAGTGTAAAGAACAAGTGGGGGAGGGAGGGAGGGGACGGTCACTCTAAAGCAACTCCCTTGCTTTATTGCTTCATGCAGCCTCCAAACCACAACT